GTGAACAGAAGAGCTGACCAACCAATCTGTCAGATTCATCAACATTATGTACTTCATGGCATTCCTCGGTTGGCTTAACATTGTCTACATCAGTATTATCCATGGCAAAAATTTTGTTGTGCAAGTTCAGTGGTCCAGGAGTATGGAGATGTAAGCAAAGGTTCATTTTGAACATGTTTCAGTCGTGCTGCTTTCAATAGGATGTGGCATTGGTGGGTAGTTAAAGGGTGGGTACAACATTAAATTCGCAGTACATATTTAGGTATACAATAACTACAAGTATATATTATCATTAAATTTAGGTATGTACAATAACTACATATTTAGGTATGTACAATAACTACATATTTAGGTATATACATCTTTTGAGTGAGTTTTAAGATATTAATTTAGTAATTATAGGCGTCTAATGATTTATTTTTTACGTTACGATATATATTATTATTAAATTAAAAACAATAAACATATATATTACATATTTATTTCTTTGGTTAATATTGTTAAATTTAAATTCTAAATATTATTTTATAAATATCAAAACAATCAAATAATTTTTTTGTGTAAATGAAATTATTAAATTAATATTGTAGGTGGAAAACATGAAACACTATAAAAAATTGAAACATAAATTACATAACTTTAAAAAAAGTATCGATCCTTTTTATAAAAAGTATGGACACTTTCAATATAATAGGTAAAAATATGATTTAATAGGTAGCGCTTATATAATGTAATAGATATCGTTTATATAATGTAATAGGTAGTTGTAAAGTATCTATCCTTTTTATAAAAGTGTCCATACTTTTTTCACTGTGGAAAACATTAATTTAAGGTTATCTTTTGAGTGAGTTTTAAGATATTAATTTAGTAATTATAGGCGTCTAATGATTTATTTTTTACGTTACGATATATATTATTATTAAAAACAATAAACATATATATTACATATTTATTATTATCTTTGGTTAATATTGTTAAATTTAAATTCTAAATATTATTTTATAAAATATCAAAACAATCAAATAATTTTTTGTGTAAATGAAATTATTAAATTAATATTATAGGTGGAAAACATGAAACACTATTAAAAAAATTGAAACATAAATTACATAACTTTAAAAAAAGTATCGATCATTTTTATAAAAAGTATGGACATTTTCAATATAATAGGTAAAAATATGATGTAATAGGTAGCGCTTATATAATGTAATAGGTATTGTTTATATAATGTAATAGGTAGTTGTAAAGTATCTATCCTTTTTATAAAAGTGTCCATACTTTTTTCACTGTGGAAAACATTAATTTAAGATTATCTTTTGAGTGAGTTTTAAGATATTAATTTAGTAATTATAGGCATCTAATGATTTATTTTTTACGTTACGATATATATTATTATTAAATTAAAAACAATAAACATATATATTACATATTTATTATTATCTTTGGTTAATATTGTTAAATTTAAATTCTAAATATTATTTTATAAAATATCAAAACAATCAAATATTTTTTTGTGTAAATGAAATTATTAAATTAATATTGTAGGTGGAAAACATGAAACACTATTAAAAAAATTGAAACATAAATTACACAACTTTAAAAAAAGTATCGATCCTTTTTATAAAAAGTATGGACACTTTCAATATAATAGGTAAAAATATGATGTAATAGGTAGCGCTTATATAATGTAATATGTATCGTTTATATAATGTAATAGGTAGTTGTAAAGTATCTATCATTTTTATAAAAGTGTCCATACTTTTTTCACTGTGGAAAATATTAATTTAAGGTTATCTTTTGAGTGAATTTTAAGATATTAATTTAGTAATTATAGGCGTCTAATGATTTATTTTTTACGTTACGATATATATTATTATTAAATTAAAAACAATAAACATATATATTACATATTTATTATTATCTTTGGTTAATATTGTTAAATTTAAATTCTAAATATTATTTTATAAAATATCAAAACAATCAAATAATTTTTTTGTGCAAATGAAATTATTAAATTAATATTGTAGGTGGAAAACATGAAACACTATTAAAAAAATTTGAAACATAAATTACATAACTTTAAAAAAAGTATCGATCCTTTTTATAAAAAGTATGGACACTTTCAACATATTATAATGTAATAGGTAAATTTGCAATGCTATCGGTATAAATATACCGGTTTACTTATAAAATAGGTAAATATAAGCGCTACCTATTACATTATATAAGCGCTACCTAGTATGTTATTGTACTTTATAATATTTTCGGTTAAATAATATAACATAACCGGTCTAAATTTTAATCGGTCACTTGTTTAACCGGTCACGCCGTATATTAGCCGTTTTTTAGGCGTCGCACCGCAGAACTGTCCAGCACCAATATATATTATTAATCGATATATTTTTTAATAGTACGAAGATAATTATTAGAGTAGTTTTAATCTTTAATAATGTAATTGGTTTTATTCATAATTTTAAAGGATATTAATATATATTTTTTAACTGTTAAATTTAAATATTATATTTTTAAAATATTAAATCTTTTTATCAAATTATTATTTATATGTGAATGGGTATGTCCACATTATTAATAACTACGTTAATATATTAAAAACTCATAGAAGCAACCCTGTCACGAAATGTCGTCCAAGAATATTGTTTCTCTTTCCATTTTGGTTCAGCCATGCTCGTTATATTAAAAATACACGTCGCAGATCCACAAAGGTGAGGGGTTCTTAAATCTATACATCCTTTTTTATTTTTTTATTCATTTTAGCCCAAAATTCAACCATAACTAGGGATGGGCATGGGTCGGGACCCGACCCATAAAATTTTACATCCTTCACCCGACCCTACCCGAAAAATATATATCCTTCACCCGACTCGAACCTAACCCGACTTTTTGAGATAAAATTTGAACTCGATCCGACCGACCCAAAATAATAAAAATATTATTTTTATTCAATAAAACAATGATTTAATTGAAAAAAATAATATATAGAGGGGTATTATTATAATTATTCCTAAATACATAATGTAATTTTTTTTTTCGGGTCGGGTCGGGTATTTTTCACCACAAATCCGAATCCGACCCGACCTAAACATCACCTTATAAAAAAAACTGACCCAAACCCAACTTTAAAAAAAACCTAACTTAATCTGATCGGGTTGGAACATGTCGGCTTCAGGTCTCATGCCTATCCCTAACCATAACTAAACAAAAATCAATTTTGTATGTTATTGAATATTGATAATAGATACGCGCACCAACCAAACGATCTCGATAAACTTTTTTTTTTTTAATTTTAAATCCAAACATTACAAATATCAAAAATATAAATGTTTCTAGTTATAATGAAAAAAAGTACGACTAGGTGAATCCAACTTATTCTTGAAATAAACAACTCGCACACACTCCCTTTCCAAAAAAGATCAATACACCAAAGACTACGCTTAGATTTATTGGATTTGTTGCTAAAATATTGATATTAACCTCGAAACTCCCGACGGATGTCCAGTGACTCAAAGAAGCGAAATAATCAGTTACATTTTTCATATGATCTCTTATTTTATTTTAGATAGACTAAAAAAAGAACCAAAAAAAAGAACTCGGTTATTTTTTTTGTATTATATCACTTTGACTCCTTTTCCATTTATTCTATCATATTTTTTTTGTTAATAATAATCAATTATTTAATATTTATTATTAATATTTATTATTAAATTATTGATTATTATCAATTTTCATTTACTTATGTCTAAACCTAGAAATGTATTTTTTTCAATTGAAAATTTCAATAATAATAATTCTTATTTTAATATTAAATATTTAAAAATTATTTTTAAATAGATATTATCTTACTTCAAATATAAAAATTAATAATAATATATACGCGATTTCCTTCTTCCGGACACCCATTATCAAATAATATATCAGCTTTTCTGATTTGGCGGTAGTCGTTTACTGCCGCCTTGCATTTAAGCGGTAAATTTTGTCCTTCATCATATTTATGGAAAAATATAAATAAACAAATAAATAAATATTTTTCCTTTCTAAGAGAAGGTGGTGGGAATTAGGATTGCAACTTTCGAAAACAAAATCTTAGAAAAAAAGATAATAATTTAAACTTACTAAATATTTTTATTTTATCTAAATTTTATATGCTTAATATCAGTCGACTTCATATCGAAGTTTTTATTGATTGTTAACTTTAGATTTTTTCGATCAATTTAATAAAATAATAAAATAAATGATATTTTTATAATTACATTCTTTAAGTTATTATTTAATATACTGTTAATAAAAATAATATTTAAAATTATAACTGAAATCATTTAAAATATCTTATATTATTTGAAAATCCAAAAGATAAATAATGTTAAAAAATCCAATTATGATACTTTATTAAAAATTTAATTTTCATTCATTATTCTTGAATTCCAATACCAATAATCAAAATTCACTATAATGATGCTGATGAAATGTATAGAAAAGTATGAATAGAAATTTGATATTAATGAACCAAAAAAGTAAGAAAATATTATTGTTTTAAATTTATTTTTTATTTAATTAATATTAAATAAATATAAAATTATTTTTATATAATAATTTTTGACAATTTGATAGTAAATATTTATATATATACACGCAATGCGAGATTCATAGGAATAAATAAATCAATAAGAATGGGAAAGTGAACTGTAACCTATGATATGTATATTAATTAAACACTGCCAATTCATGATCCAGAAGTTTAGTTGTCAAGCATGTGATGTGTGCAGCTTTTGCCTACAAAAACCATTCCATTACTTTCCAAATTATTAATAAAAGGAAACAACAAATATTTACTTCCGAATTAATATTAAAATTCCCCGCTTTTTCTGTTTTCCCTAACCCAGAAAATGAAATTCCAATTTCAGTTTTTTCCCCTTTTGTTTCATGATTTCTTTTCACACAAAAAGGATAGGGTCAACCCAAATAAGGCAACACCCCATAACAGAGAGAAGAAGATCATGCAGTTTCTGTAATCTATAAAAACTTTATATACATGGTTTACAGGTTAAAAGGGTATTAAAGAATGTATTAGTAATTTAGTGAAGTGGGAAAAAGGAGAAGATGCACGTTGATTCATGATGACACAAGCAAAGGAGTGTTTGTGCGTGGAGTTTATGCACAGCTCTATCCTTTTTGCCTTTTGCAAATAACATCCATCTTTCTCATCTTTTCCCACATCACCTGCCACTACTAATAATACTCCTTTGCTTGAAATTTATCTTCCAAACAAGCCAAGACACTGCTGCAAACCTAGTTATTCTGCTTCCTTGCTCTCGTTAGAACTGCTATTCGGGCGTCTTCTCCGTTTTAAAATATATGAAAGCTTTGTCATTTAGTCTTTACTTGTTTGGACGGAGGCATTGAAGTTTGCCTGTTTTTGTTGTGGAAAGTTGAACTTCTTTCTTCTTCTTTTATGCTGTTGAAGGTCTGATTATGATCACTCTACTTTTGTTTTTTCTCCGTGCTTATTCATTGTTATTGTTGTTTATGTGATCGTTGTTGAAGTTTCTGAATTGGGTTTTCGCAGATTTGGTGGAGTGTTGGAAAAGATGAATACCAGAGTCGGGACGTCTGTTCAGGCTAAGAAAGTTCCTAGGAAGCATGAAAAAGTAATTACTGATCACAGTAATTAAGAACTTTAATCAATGGCCAAATTGGGGTCCCTGGATTACTGATTATTTTAATATTAATTTGTTTTGAAAGACGGTTTGGACTGTAGTATGTATGAAGGAATGTGATTATTGCTTAATTATCTTCAATTTCAAGAAAGAGCCTCACAGCCCCTGGATAGTTTTTGAAAAGTAAGCTTCTTTGATTGGAATCCAATGCGGGTTTTAAAAGTTCAAATGTAAAATGAAAGAAGGTTTTTGTATTATTCCCTTGGAGTTGAGATTCCCTGGAATTTTTCCAGACAAATGTGGGTTGGCTTCATTCACTAGTAGGCAACTACGCGGTTCCAAAATTTTTCCCTTGTTCTTTGATTCTTCCAACTTTTTGTTCTTGAATGCTTGATAACTCTAACTGATTGCAACCTTTTTTTTCTTTGAAGGAGAAGGCTGAAATGCAGGGGATCAAGCCACCCATTGTTGCAACAAAGGCAATGAAGAATACACGAGACTCCACCAAAGAAAGAAAAATGACCTTACAGCAAGATGTATAACCTCGTTTATCCAGAGTTTCTTCAAGTTTTTGGATTTCTTACAATGATTTACTGTAGTTATTGATTGTATTGAAACTCCAATGTTTTCTTCAGGTTGATAAACTGAAGAAGAAGCTTAGACAGGAAGAGAACATTCACAGAGCTCTGGAGAGAGCTTTTAACCGACCTTTGGGAGCTTTACCTCGTCTTCCTCCATATCTCCCTCCTCCTGTTAGTAACTCATCATCTCATTGACTCCTTTTTGGTCTCTTTTCAAAGATTATGGAAACGTTTCAAGGATTCCATGTTGGTATTGGGGTCATGCCCATTGCGGTTAAAGAACTTTAGAAACAGATGAAGTGACCGAATTGTGCATTTGGACATTGTCAAACAGGAATTTTAATGTCGGATTCTACTTTTGTAGACATTGGAGCTTTTAGCAGAAGTGGCGGTGCTGGAGGAGGAGATTGTCCGGCTTGAAGAACAGGTGGTTCTCTATAGACAAGACTTATATCAAGAAGCTGTCTATACATCATCGTCAAAAAGGAACATGGAGAGTTCAATTGATTTGAGTGAGCCTTGCCCGAATAATGGTCCTAAATGTCCGCAACCAAGAACTTTAACTAGAAATACATCCATGGCGAGTCATATGCGATCTCTTTCAGGTAAGGTTTTTTGGTATTTTAAATACTATTGTCATGGCATTAAGATTTGAAACATTTATTTGAAGTGAAAGTAGGATGCAAAACTTATTACTTTTTATTTTTTAGACGATGGGAGAGGAAAGGAGAACCAATCATGTACTAATTCCACAAAGAGCAATAAGGGATCCTTGGTGGATAAAAGCCATATAGTGACAACACCTGTGATGAGACCTTTGATTGATTCAAAACCTGCAGAGAAACGTTTTGATACTCAAAAATTGCAGGCATGAAGCAATGCCATTTCCATCAAGTTATAGTAGACTTATTTGCGGTTAAATGAGTATTGACTTGTTTTACATGTTCAGCTAGAATGCAGAGTGAGAGACCAAGATAGTGCAGAAGTGCGAAATCTTAGCACTTCAGATGAAAGGCCACTGGCAGATTATGGTCCGAATAAAGTTTCTGAGGAACTTGTGAAATGCTTGTCCTCCGTTTTCTTAAGAATGAGCTCAATGAAGAGAAGGTCTAGTGCAGAAAGTTTTCCTTCACTATCAATGTCAGGCTCCCAAGAAAGCAGGGATGAAACGAAATTCCGGGACCCTTATGGTATTTGTTCAAATTTTGGGAGGAGAGATATCGGGCCATATAAGCATTTGATTTCAATTGATGCTGGCTCCAATTTTGGGAGGAGAGATATCGGGCCATATAAGCATTTGATTTCAATTGATGCTGGCTCGATCAACCCAAATCGAACATCAAATTCTTTATTTCTGCTGCGCAGGCTGAAGTAAGTCATCAGTTAATAGATCAGTTTTCATCTTATTTTATGTATTCTAATGTCTGAAGAAGTTATGAAGAATTGTGATCATTTTTTTATGTTGAATTTCCAGGCTACTCCTATCAAGACTTGCCTCCTTCAACTTGCAGAACCTAAATCATCAGGAGAGGCTTGCCTTCTGGATAAACATCTACAATTCCTGCATGATGAATGTATGTGGAAGATTCTGTCAGTATAAACTGAAAAGATTTAGGCTCGTATCACTTATTAACTATTGATTTTAAATGTACCGAAAAATCCAAGCTAATCATTTCATACTAGTTTCCTTCACATGCATTTAAACCCCACATTCTCTTGTGGTGGTACTCCATCTTTTAATGCATTTGGTTTCTGTTACGATAACTGGTTTACTCTAGAAGATGAAATCATTTATTACATGATGTTGATTCAGGCATTCTTAGAACATGGAGTACCTGAGAGTCCGGAGATGGTTGTTGAATTGATGAGAAAGGTATGGATGTGCAGAACACATGATTTCCTTAGAATATTGTTGATTTTCATTCTTAGGATAGTGTTCTGTTACATGTCCAACCATACTGACATTACATCATTTCGATTAATTAGATGTAATCGGTAGTTTAATAAAAAAAAATTGATGAAACAGGCAACTATAAACATTGGGGGACACCCGCTAAATTCAATAACGATCGAACATTTCATTCTCAGATTGCCTTACCACTCAAAATTTGTAAGTGGTGCCTCATTTAAGTTTCTTGAAACTTTATCAGCTTGATAATCGATTCTTCTTTAACATGTTTCTTGTACCTTCACTTCTGATCAGACCTTTACAAAGGGTTCCAAGAATGATGAAATGCTTGCTAGGAGCATGTTTGGCTTGCAACTTTCCGAACCATTGGTGACATTTGCCCTCTCATGCGGAAGCTGGTCCTCCCCTGCTGTAAGTTTGTAACGTTGTCTGCTAGGTTTTCTCTTATTAACATCATATAACACTGGTTATTGATTCTTCGCTTCTGTCAAACGAAGGTGCGAATATATACCGCTTCTAATGTTGAGGCCGAATTGGAAATCGCAAAGAAAGAGTACTTACAGGCTACTGTTGGGATTTCGTCAACAAAGTTTGCAATCCCTAAGCTGTTGGACTGGTACTTGCTTGAATTTGCTAAGGACTTAGATTCGTTGCTCGATTGGATTTGCCTTCAACTACCTAATGAACTAGTAAAAGAAGCAATCAAGTATCTTGAAAGAGCTAAAACGGAGTCTCCTCTACAGTTTGTTCAAATTATACCTTATGACTTCAGCTTTAGGTATCTTTTATGCACATAATAAATTATTTGTTTCAGTTAAAATTTTGCTTAGTTTCTAAGGGTGTAATAATGCCATACACAATCTTAGATTAGATAACATATAAAAATAAAGGGGGTAATCTATTTTCCTATCTTTGATTGTAAGTAGTTGTTTGAGGAATGTTCATCATGGATTTCTGCATGTAATTAATAATTACTTTTCATTTAAAAAAAGAACAATTGGATTCTTTTTCCCATAATTCTCAGTTGAACAATCATCATGTATTGTACATCCAAGTTTTCATTAATCATCAATGAAAATAAGAGGGACCATGAACCTAAAAGCGGATAACGTCCTTAATTTTCCTGCAAGGATTGCCAACTAGCTGACAGAGATAATTCAATGGAAGTTTGACGTTTCATTCAATAAAATTAGGTGTAAGCAATGAAAACCCCAGTATTCTGTTTATTGGATTAGTATGCATTAACTCCTGTTGGAATTCCAATTAAAATCATGTGCCCTATGACGCTGTTGTGTTTCGCGTCAAAATAATTCATTCTTCTCAATTAATAAATAAAGGAAATTTAACATAATAAAAGAGAATGGTCGATCCCACAAAGACTGAGGAGACTTTCTGATTTATTCGTGCTTTGTTTAATCTTTGAGCCAAGAAGTGAATGGAGTAGAATTTGAGTAACTGTAGGGATTTATAGATGAAGAGAAAAAAAATAGAAGAAAAAAAATAAAAAGACTAAAAAGAAATATAAAAAGAAAGTTTAAAAGAAAATTCAATATGGTAAAATCAACCTAAGGCTTTATCTTTGACTCAATTTCCTTCGGATTATTGAATTAGACACGTCGATTACTTTGTCTACAAAAGTAATCATTGTGACTCTTCTTTGTATACTGAATACCCAAGGTAATCTTTGATTCTGGCTTCGGAAATTGATTTGATCGACATCAATTGTCGTAGATCAATAACTGTTTAAGTTCTTGAAGACCGTCTTGGATTGTTGTTTCAATAACTACTAATTCCGATATCAATTCCCTCTTAGCAAAGCAATCTTGCCAAATGTGTTCCCAAGAAGTCGAATGTGCTTTCAATAAGCCGATTATTAATCCCACACATTTAATCGCAACAACATCTTGACCAAAGTCAATCTTTGATTTTGAAAATAAGCGCAGAGATTGAGAGAGATATTCTGAAGTTAATCGAGTGTTTTTCAATTCTCATGTTGGAATTGAGTCGTCACTTTAACCCTCGGCTTGAAATAAAATTAAAGAAAACGAAAACATAATTTTTTTTATTAAACTAAAGAAAGAAAGAAAAATATTATTCTATTAGGTTTACCCCAAGGGATATTTATAACCTTCCAAAAACTCTAAAAAAATGTTAAAAAATAAAAGATAATTATTTAAATTTAAATCCTAAAAATAAAAAGACAAATCTTAAAACCTTGAATTTTAAATTGCTTGAAATGCTTCATCTATCAGTTCATCTTTTAGAAGCTGCTGATTAGACCTTCGAGAAACTGTTGATTGGGCGCCATGTCACCTGCCATGTCAGTTGCCATGTCATCGCCACATCAATTGTCACATCATCGCCACATAAACACTGACTAGATGTCATGTCGGGTGTGTCATGTCCCAAGTCGTACCCACTAATCCGGTCATGAATCTAGAAAATTAAAAATTTTTACGATTTCGTTGTTATTAGCATAATTTCTAGAATTCAATGTCCTACATAGAAAATGAAAGAAAAGGCCCAAGTAAGTAACTAAAATTATCTAATCAATGAGTAATTAATCACAAAATAATGTATAATTTAAACACTAATCAAATTCCCCCTCGCTTATTTAATACATGTCTTCAAGCATTTCTCAATCAACATACCAAAATCAATAGTTGTCATTCTATAACTCACATCATACTTTAATCATCCAATGAACCAAAATCAAGACAATAAATTAGAAAACAATCAAGCATGTGGCAAAGTTAGGAAATAAGTTAAATCAAAATAAGGCATTCTGATAGCTCACTAATCTCATGATGCAAGACTCAATACCCTCACAAAGGATTCACTCATTCCGCTCAAGTGTTTAAGGACAAAGAAACGCTCAAGCCAGAACAAAAGCATTACCATAAGATTGTGATTAAATCCAATCTCCACTAATTTAAATTGAATAAGATGCAAAAGTCAAGAGATCTTTAATCTGGGTTGTAACGTGGCTAAGGTATGGGTAGAGAAAAGGGCCGAAAAAGAAAGGTTTAAAATGTCAAAACAAGATATCAAAATAATTAGGAACAATCCACGAACTAACATGAAGCATAATGAAAAATAAAACAGGGAAAAAGAATAGATGAAAGGCAATTTGTTGAAAACATTTTGATATTTCGATATAACAAATTAAATGAATTTTAAGATTTTCCAAAATGATTTTCTAAGTATATTCGATATAATTATTCGAATATCAAAACATTACTCAAAATATTTCAAAAATCATTTTTAATCCTTACTTAAGTAAAATTAAGTGTTAATCTTAAACAATTTCAAAATAATCTTTCAAAGTATTTCGAACCATTTCAAAACCAAAAATTCTAGATTGCTCAGAGGGAACCGATTCCCCACCAAGGGGGTACCGATTCCCCCCTGAAGGGTTTGGCTCCGAGATTTCCAGAATGCTCAGAGGGAACCGATTCCCCATAGGGGTACCGATTCCCCCCTGTTCAACGATCGAATATTTGAATTTTACACTTAGGGAACCGATTCCCCATAGGGGGTACCGATTCCCCCACGCTCCAAGCTGTTTTATTAATTGTTTTCACACTAAAACGACTATATTATCTTCATTAATTATCCCCAACGTTCAGAAGTGATTCAAGGTGTATTTAAACAAGTTCTGAAGCTCTTGATCAACAAGAAATTAAGAAACAAGAGAAAGCATCAACACCAAGTTTGTACAAATCAGCCATTTTTCCTTTCAATATTCATTTTGCTTTCAAGAACACCATTTGTGCTCATTTGTAATTATCTTTGAGTGTTCTTTTCTTATTCTAGAATTGTGCAAACATCTTACCTTGTGAGGTTTTCTTGTAAGTTTGCAAATTTGTAATCTTCTCTTTGGGAAAAAGAGTGTTCTCAAGAGTTGGGATATACTCTTGAGGGTTTTTGTAAGGTTATCTCTTTGGCCTCAAAAGAAAGAACAAATTAGTGAATTTGTTGGAAAATCCTTAGTGTGGATAGCTAAGGTAGTGGACGTAGACTTTTTTTGAGAAAGTCGAACCACTATAAATCGCTGTGCAATTACTTTCAATTTTTCTACAAAAGCTTCCACGAAATTTTAATTGCCAATTCCACCCTCTGGCCGATTCCATCGATCGATTAACTCAACAATTGGTATCAGAGCCTAACTCATTTGAAGGTTTAATCGCCTCTTGAGTCGATTCGGGAATAGTTATATCGATTATTAAAGTCATCAATGGCCTCCGCTTCAAACTTCGACTCCGGTCTCGATTCGATGCCCGTCAACAAGCCTCCTTTCTTCAATGGAGCTAACTATGCCTATTGGAAGAATAGAATGATGTACTTCATTCAAGCAAGTGACATGGGAGCATGGAATGCTGTAGAAGAAGGATACATCAAACCTCTCACTCATCCAAGGTTGTGGAGTGAAGGAGAGACAATAATGTTCAGCTCAATCCAAAGCCATCCATATTATTTTTGTGCTCTTGGACCAGATGAATACTGAAGAGTTTCATCGTGTATAACCGCCAAAGAAATATGGGACAAGCTTCAAGTCACACATGAAGGTACAGATGAGGTAAAAATCAAAAATTAGTATTCTAAGCTAGATGAAAATTTCAGGATGAAACCAAATGAAGACATCAAAGCTATGACGGATAGATTTTCAACGATTGTCAATGGTATCAAATCATATGGAGAGATCATTTCAAATTAAAAGCTTGTGAGAAAGTTAGTCTACTCCCTCCCAAAATCATAGCAATCAAAGAAGACGACAATCATCGAGTCTAAGGACCTATCGTCCTTAACTCTTGAAGAACTTATCGGTTCACTCCTCACTCATGAGATGATGCTTGAAGATGAGGTGGACCTTGATAAAGTTGAAGAGACACCAAAGGAAAAGGAGAAGAAAAATATTGGAGTTGCTCTCAAATCCACAAAGATGAGAGTGATTCTAATAATGATGATGATGACGAGGAAATGGCATTGTTTGCCAAACGGTTCAGAAAAATGATGAGACCTTACCAAGGAAAATTCAAACGAACGAAGGCCTCAAAAATGAACCAAAAGAGAAGAACCCAATCATTTGCTATGAATGCAAAAAGCCGGGACATGTCAAATATGATTGCCCATAATTGAAGAAAAGGGTCATCAAAGAATATGCACAATGCTCATGTGGCTACATGGAGCGATGAAGAAAGTTCCGATGAAGAGGAACAAAAGTAGCAAACTTGTGCTTTTGATGATTTATCTTATGATGAGTTATTTGAGGAGTACAATGGGTTGGCTTGGATTATGAGAAATTGTTTTTAAAATATAAAAATGATGTTTCAAAATTGAAAAATGAAAACAAACTCATATCCAAAACCAACAACGATCTTGAAAGTAAAATCAAAGATTTGCAAATCAAACTAGAAGAGTTTGAAAAGAAAATTTAGATTTGCAAAATTTACTTTCAAAGATCAATGATGATCAAAAGAAAATTGATGATCTTAAAACTTCTTTTGATAAAGTTGGAACAAAACATTTTGAAAAAGGTGGAAATTCAAAATCCAACTTTGTTAGAAAAAGTTTTAGAAACTACAATCATATGAGGTCCCCAAGAACCTCTAATGGAAAAATCATTAGAAGTATGTGGGTTCCTAAAGAACTCATTACTACTAAAGATAAAATATCCTACACAAATGGATACCTAAGGGGACTAGGATTTGGAAACTAATGAATATGGACCCAAAGAATTTGGGTACCAAAAATCAAAATTAATCTATGTTTGTAGGGAAAGGACACTGCTACAAGGCACGGGAAACAAATTCAAATTCATGGTACCTTGATAGTGGATGCTCAAGACATATGACCGGAGACAAAAGCCGGTTCATTGATCTTAACCCAAATGGAGGAGAAGTGACTTTTGGAGACAATTCAAAAGGTCACATTGAAGGTATTGGTACAATAGGTAATACCTCTTCCATACAAATTAAGAATGTTTATATGTGA